CCAGGCAATCGCCATGGCGAGCCCGGCGCTGGCACTCGGCAGCAGCCCAGGCACCGCTGGGGGCAGGGGCTGTGTCTGTGTCATAATCCTCCAAATAAATTCCACCGCGTTTGGGGTCAGAGCTGCCCTTGGTGCCCCCGGGGCCGAGCAGGCGGTTAGTCCTGTATGATACCGAGAAGAAGTGTTTTTTGCCGTGGAAAGGGGCAGGGGTCCCTCTTTTAGAGGAGTTGGTCCTGGTGGCTGCAAGGTCCCCATCACCCGTCAGAGAACCCCATCCTGGCGGGAGAGTGGCGCTGCTGTGCGGGGCCACCCTCCCGTCTGGGCTGGCTTTCTCCTTGTCCTTCCTCCGCAGGGACTCGATCCGCTTCAGGAAGCTTCGAGACCGTCGTTTCTTCAGCTTCTCTTTGGAGGTCTCTCCCTGGCCCGAGGGCTGCTCCGGGGCAGAACCCTCACTCTGGCTGCAGCTGGAGGTGGTGGCAGTGGCACGGAGCGGGGACAGGGGCTGGGATGGCACGGCTGCAGTGCCTAGCATGCCACCCACACTGCCCACACTGCCCGTGCTGTGCAGGGACGTGGCCTCGGGGTTGGTGCTGAGGTCTGTGAGGATGCTCTCGCGACTGGACACCGGGTGCATGGTGCAGCTCAGGGCCCCCGAGCCCTGGGACACGGCATCGGCGGACCCCACCCGTGACCACCTTTTGCTGTCCCTCTGGTAGGACCACCGGGTGCTGATGGCAAAGTCGACTTCCTCCTCAGAGTCTTCATTCTGTGGGTGGTTGAGAACAGGGGATGATCAATCGGTTGGAGCCATTGAGGGTCAGCACATCCCCCCACCTCAGAGTGGCACGGCCACCAGCATGGCCCCAGGTGGGGAGGAGAGCAGCGTGGTCACCCCCTAAGCCAGCTCGGAACCCCTTTGGCAGTGGAGGCCTCCAGGAGCCACTCTGTGCCCAGGGTAGTCCCAGAGCTCACCAGGACACTGCCCCACATCCAGCACATGATCCCCTGCACCCCTCAGCCCCTCACCTGCCTTGAGCATGCAGGACTTACCTGTTTACGCTGAAAGTGAACATCCAGCTTCATGGAGGCACAGGTGTTCAGGGTCATCAGCCTCCTGCAAGAAACAGAGTGGCTTTACCCTGGTCCCAGCCCCTGCCCCAGCCCTGCTGCAATCACAGGGATGGCTTTGGCTTCTTTTGATTTTCCTGCCTTAGAGCCTTGGCTGTGTCTGTCACCTGCTGCTTTGAGTCCACAGTCAGAGGGACACCTGACTAACAAGGGGATGATGCCAGGTGGTAGCCCAAGCCAGGCAATGCCCATGCCAGCTGCTGTGGCAAGTGGGCAGGGGTGGTCTGCTCCAGGCTACTACAGCAAAATCACCTCAGAAGCTCCTGTGCCCCAGACAGGGAATGACTAAAGGACCTGAAAGCTCAGAGAGGGAGGGACAGGCAGAGACCTCCCATCACCTCCTGCCTCACTGCACCCAGGCAATGGCACGGGGATCCCCTCCTGCCCAGCACAGCAGTCTCTCTGTTGGGAAACAAATAGGAAACAGACCCTGTTCCTGCCTTTTCTCTGTTCTGGGTGGGAGGGACAGCATGGAGCCAGCACAGGTACATGGCTGTGATGACATGTCTGGAGAGCCGAGGCAGGGCTGAGTCACAGCACCGAGTGACACACGGCCCATCCAGACTGACCATCGGTCAGTGCCCTGCTGTGGGTGCCAGCTCTGGCTTGCTCTGAGTGCCCCCACACTGCTCCCTGCACTCCAGCCCTGCACAGCTCCCAAACCTGCAGCTGCAGCAGCGCCGTGCTCAGGTGGAAAGTGGGCTGGGCTGCATTGCTTGGAACTGGGACACCAGCATCACATGGAGCATAAAAACCTTCTGTTTCCCTGGAACCACCCAGCACCAGCAATGTTCCCTGACCTGAACAACTGAGTTCTTACTGCAGAGGGAGTGACAGTACTGGAGCAGACTCTGAGCCCAGCCAAGGTCAAGGCAGGCACCCTACTAAGCCACCACACATCAGGCACCCCTGAGCCTACCACCCCATCAGCCTGGGCCACTGTCCTTGTCTGTGCCACATCCTCCTGCTGATTCCATGAGAGGGGGGACAAGGGAGTGTTACCTGCACAGGGATTTGAGGGAATCCTGGTCCAGGAAACTGTGGTCCTTCTTCACAGCACTGATGTCAAGAGGGAATAATGACTCTGGGGGAAGGAAGTGATATCAGTGGCAGATCCCAAGCCAGCTGCTCCATCAGGACAAAGGGCAGCAGTGGGCATGGGAAGAGGAGGAGAAGTGGCTGGAGATGACCTGGAGGTGGGGCATGCCCAGGGTCCCTGGGTATGGCTCTTCCCAGGTGTGTTAGGTGAGGGTGATAAGGTGTCCAAGGGCCTCCAGTCAGTTCCCTGCTCATCCCTGAGCACAGACAGCTCTGCTGGGATCGAGCATGTGGGACCTGCACCTTCAGCCCCAAGGGTCTCAATCCATCTGTCCATGAAGCCACGGAGTGTGATCCCCACGGGAAGGGAAACAGAGGGAAACACTTGGAGGATGTGTGAAGTTCTGTGGCCAGAGGCTGGAGACGGGTTGGTTGATCCACAGGCTGCAGCACCAGCAGTGCTCCCCACTGCCCAGCTGTGAGCACTGTCTGGGGCCAGCACCTGGGGCTGGGCATCCCGGCAGGAACACGTGTGGCCTGCCCCCCAAAATAGGCCCTGTCAGCAGACAGGCTGCTCATGGAGCCACCCCCGGGGATGGCTGCAGGGGGCGGGGGCAGTGCCCGGCCGAACAATGGCCCCGGCTGCGGCCGCCCCAGCCCCGCTTCCCGCTATTGTCCGGCCGGACGGGGCCGGCTGCAGCCGCTGCTCGCACCGCCGGGACCAGCATCCCCCCGGGGCTTCCGAGCACACAGCTGAGCTGTGCGAGCACCACCACAGCCACTCTGCCACCGCCCTGGGCGCCTGGAACAGGAGGTGGGTGTAGGAACATGGTCTGCTCCAGGCTGGGTGCTCAGAAGGACAGGCTGGAGCAGGGAAGGGGTTGTGGGAGTGGGGAGGGACACAAGGAGGGAGAACATGCTAGCTCTCCACGTTACCTACACTGGCTGTTCCTATGCTCCCACCCACGGCAAACACTCCCTGAACCACTTCACAGCTGATGGCTCTCCAAAGCCTGGCTGCCCTTGGCCAAAGCAGCCGCCCCAGGATTCCTCAGAGCCCTGCCTGAAGGGGAAAAGTTCAGGAATGCAGGGAAGTCAACTGGCTGGTTCTCCAGGCCGTGGCCAAGGGCTCAAAGTGTAACAAACAATCATATAATCAGTGAGCAATCCCCTCTGTCCCCTCCTCTCCCTGGAGCTGTGGGCGCTGTCCCTGCAGCCCCCTTGGAATCTGGATGGGATGGAGGCCCTGGGCAGGCACAGAGCAGGGTCGGGGCAGGGGGCAGCTCTCACCTTCGTACAGCTGGGCATACTGGGGGAACCCCGCTGCCCGCAGCCAGTCACACGCTTCCTTGGCTTCAGCTTCTGTAAGAGAGCAAAGAACCGGCCTGAGCACCCTGCCAGCAGCAGCAACGCCCTGAGAACACAGCCCACACCCCAGAGCCCTGACCCCAAGCCCATGTTCCATGTGCACAGAGCAGAGGAGATGTGTGGCTGCAAAGCCAGGGCTCCTGGGCAGACACAGCTCAGCTGCAGCTCTCTGCCAGCACTGGGCAAAGAGCAGGAGGTGACAGTGATGCCACGTGAACAACAGGGCCACAAGATGCAGTTTTAACCTTCTGATGAAACATTTTGTTTCTGAACTCTCCAAACCAAACACAGTTCTTGGCCAAGCAGAGGAGGAAGATCTTTCTTTGTAATCATCAGGTCAGAGCTCGTCAAAGCTCAGTGCTGATCACTTCTGCAAACATCTCTGAGCAAAGCTGCCAAAGAAACCCTTCCTCCCCACCTCCTTCCCACCACCCAGCCTTCCCCACCTCTTCTTTCAAGCTGGTGTTTGTCCCAGTCAGCAGCAAATCCCTGGTGGGGTTCTTCACCCCTCGCCCAGCTGGTTCCCACCCCTCACACAGGGATCAGCCCTCGCCCAGATGAGCCCATTCAGCAGCCAGCAGCATTTCCTGGGAAATTCCTCCAGTTTAGAGAAACAGCCCAGAGCTCCTGCAGCCACAGCAAGGCATTGCCAAGAGTCAGCACCCATTGGCCCGATGACATTTCTGCTGCTGAGGGTGACAACATCTGACCTCAGGGGTAGAAAATGCCTTGGCAGCCTCAGGGGCTGATCTGTCCCTGCTGGAGGCACAGAGTCAGCTGAGCCAGACCCACCCAGCACTGGAACACCCTGATTCCATCCCCATCCGCCCACTGCCTCAGCCCAGAGCACTGGCTACACTTTGCATTCCCAATTCCAAACTTACAGCAGCAAAAAAAAAAAAAAAAAAAAAGTTCCAAATAAGCAGCTCCATTCAGAACAGGACTAAGCCAAAGCCCTGGACCCAAATACTTGGCAAGTTTTGGGAAGAAGTTTTGGAATGAGCATCTGGATCCGGGTCCAAACCGCACAGCAGTCATTAACCATGCCATGAGTCCTGCCAAAACCCAGGGCTGACCCCTCCTGCCCCCAACAGGGCTCTGACCCAGCAATCCCAGTGGAGAACTCAACCCCGGAGCTATCCTGGGTCAGCAGGTCCATGTGGAGCACCACATCCCTCCCAAAGAACCCAACACCCCATGGGGAGGCCACCCCATGGCTGCATCTCTCCAGCAGGAGGACACCAAGCCTGGTGGTCCCTGGGAACCCTCCCTGGCCATGCCAGCTCTGGAAACAGATCCCTCCCACACTCCTGGAGCAGGCAGGACCCAGGGACAGCCACTTCCCACAGCCCCTGCCAGGTCCCACTCCTGCCCGACCCTGCTCCTAATGGGAATTCCATGGGGCCAATCCCAGCCAGCGACTGCAGCTCCATGTGCCCCAAGCCACGAGCAAAAGCAGCAATGTCCCACCTGTGCCATGAATGCTGCCCCAGGGATGGGTTTGGTGGAGGGCAGCAGGAGCAGGGCCTTGGCTGAGCTTACCCCTGCCCACAGCAGGGCTCAGCTGGTACCAGAGCATGGCTGGGGCCACACCAGAGCCTGGGGACACCCAGTGTGACCACAGCCACCCCAGCCAGAGCCCGGGGCTGCAGCAGGATGCTCTCTCTGTGCCGGACTGGGCTCAGCCTCCCGTCACCGGGGTGGAAATGCGGAGTCAGAGCACGACATTTCCTTCCCTCCTCCACCCTCCCCACGCAGGGCTGGCGGGGGGCCAGGGCCCCAAACCTCCTCTCCTCTCCTGTGCAGCAGCCAGCTCCCAGGCTCTGCCTGCTCTGGCAAGTCCTGCCTCCCCCCAGAGCCCCTCCAACAGGGAGAATCCCCCTAGAGCAGGGGGATGTTTGACCAGCCCAGGCTGAGCCCTCCTGATGTTTCTGTGACAGGGTTTCTGTGACAGAAGTGCTGTCACAGAAAAGGTTTCCAAGTGTCCTGTCCCAGAGGGAGCCAGCAGCCAGCTTCCTCCTCTTCCCGCCCTTCCCATGGACGTGCTTTCCCAGGGAAGTGCAGGAAAGGCTGGGCAGGCAAACACTCCTGCCGTGGAATGCTGGGCACAGGGTCACCCATCCCAGCCGGGTTCCCAGCCCTCCCTGCCACCTCTCAGGAGCCTCACTGTCGGGCAGGGTGATGGGACCTGAGCCCAGCATGCATCCCTGCTGCAGCCTGCACTGGGAATCCACCCTGAGCCCAGGGATTGCTGCCCAGAAACCCAAGACCCTCCACTCTCCACCCTCCACCCAGCTCAGCCTGAGCCCAGGCAGCAGTGACAGAGATGGGTCCCCAACATCCCCAGATGCCAGGATTCCCTGATGTCTAATACAGGCTCATCAAGCACTACATCCACCCTCAGCAGGGCACAAAGAGGGTCTCTGTGCCTCCACTGGTCAGAAAACAATTTCCAGGAGCTTATAGCAACTCAATATCTTTGGGATCTGTGGTTTTAATGGTGCAGAAATCGTCCCACTCCAGTTGTATAGCAGGAGGAGCGGTCAGAGGGTACAGGCAGAGTCCATGCATCCCTGAGAAACAAGGGGATAAATCCCACCAGCTTCCTGGCTGCAGGCAGGGAAGACAGACCAGCAGCCCCATCATGGTTCATGCTCCAGAGGAAGCTCTCCATGGGAGATGAGCCCTCAGGAAATGCCTGGGCAATCCCACAAGGGAAACCAGCACCAACACCTTCAGTGGAAAAAGCTCCCAGCGGTGCACAATCCTCTGAGCCACCAGAGAATCCTGCCCCAGCAAAGCCTCTGCCCTTGTCCAGCAGCTGCTGAGGCTGGAAGGTGTTTCCCAAGGAAAAGGTTTCCACAGCAAGAGGCAGAGACTGTAACCCCAGTGCTACCATGGTCCATCAGAAACACCCTGAGTGGGTCCAACCCCCCCAGCCTGAGCCCCCCAGCACTCCCAGGAAGGAGTAGAAATCAAAAACAAAGGAAGAGAAGATGTTCCCATTGTTCCCAAAGAAAAGGATGAAAACCAACAGTGAAGTGGAGAAAAAAGGACAAAATTCCCCAATCTCCTTCTTGCAGTGATTCCACTGCGGCATTTCCCTGGGGTAACCACCGGTGACTCCAGCAGGAATGGCTCCTGGCTGTGAGTGTCTGGAGCCTGATATTTCTCTCTCAAGTGCTTTTGGTGCTCCATCCACCCACTCTGGAACAGGCGTGAACCAGGGAAAAAAAGGAAAAGCCCAAGACATTCCATAAAAGCTATAAAACAAGTAACCTGGAACACTGGAAGCCAGCAGAATTACAGGCAGGAAAGCCACTTTCCAGAACCCCAGCTCTGCACTTTCACTTTAACAATCAAAACTGACAAGAAGTCCCAGGCCAGGCTCTCAGCTTCCCACAGCAAGGTTCCAAATCCCCATGAAACATCCCACACAGCCAATTAGCGTGTGAGGAGAAAACCCCACCACAAAAATGCTCACATGTGACCTCATGGAAAGCTGGAAGCAGCTGCCTGGCACTGCGGGGGAAGCTTCAGCCCCAGCACCAAGAGGAGAAAATTGCTCTTTTTCCTTTCGTGTTTGTGTGATTTCTTTCCATCCTGCCTGAAAGTAAAACTGCCTACAATAGGGGCTTTCCTTCCCAGCTATAAGTAGAAGTTTCTTGCCTGCTTTTTACAGGAAAGACAGAAAGTCCCAACTCCTCTCCTGAACCGGGGGAATGTGCCTTCACTGCTTGAGAACACGAGGAGCTGGAGCAGGTGTCCCATGGGAAACGTGAATCCTACCAGGGACAGAGGGACTGACTCTGCCTGGAGAAATCAGAGCTGCCTTCCTGAGCAGGGCATCTCTCCCACAGATGCCAAGGGCCAATCCCAGACCCTCCCAGGGGGGTTTGGAGGAAGCCCCCACGGTGCCCTTCCAGCACTGGGCACATCTGAACTCAGTGCCCACCCAGCTGGGCTCTTGGGGCAGGGGGCTCACAGAGCTCCACACAACCACGGGCACCTCCTGCTGCCAGCTCCACTCAGCAGAGGGCAGAGATGTTGGAGCTGCCAGCACAGACATGGACAGGGCACATGGGCAGGAATGAGGAATGCTCTTGGATGCCCTCCCAGACACGGTGTGTTTCCATAATTAACCTTCACACAGTAAATGGTTCCCACAAGCTTTGGGAACTGCTCCTTGCTATGTCACCAATCAGGAATTGCTCAAATGCCTCCTGCACCTCCAGCCCTGAAATGTCTGCCCCAAGGGCATTGCTGCCTGGGGATGGCACCTGGCATGGGGGATGGCAGCAGAGCCCTCTGCCACCCCCAGACAGCTGCTGGGAACATGAACACGAGGGACGTTCAGGGGTAAAAATGATCCTAGAGGTTTTATGGGAATTGCTGAATGGTGTCTGTGAGTACTGGCTGGTACAACCCACACAGGAACCCCTCTGGCCACCACAGGGCAGGGAGACTGTGGCTCTTGGGTGTCTGGATCAGATCTGGATCATAATCCCTGCAGGCTGGGCACAGAGAACCCCCAGCAGCACCATAGAGCCCCCCAGAGCTCTTCCCCACCTTATCTCTGCCCACTCACCCCTCCGCTGGGCTCCAGGGCTGTGTGTGACCACCCTTATCAGCTGAATGTGGTAGTTCTCATTTCCTCCCCTCAAACGAACCCAACAGCAGCCTCAGGTCTGGTTTACTCAGCCCTCCACGCCCACAGAGTGCAGAGCTTTGTGCTGCACCACACAGGAACACGGGCACCAGGAAACCGAGGTGAGGCTGCAGCACCCGTCCACACAAAAGGAGGCGCCTGGGAGAGGGGCCCAACCTGCTCAGAGAACATCTCTGCTTCCTCAAACAACACCCAGAAGAACCTAAATTCAGGTTTGCAGCCAGTGCTGTTCTTAATAGAGATGAGAAGGAAGCGCTGAAGCAGACATGTTAGCCACAAGACCACAAGAAATGACGTGTAGGATTATGGAATCATGGAATGGTTT